TAATATTCTTTCCTTATAAATTTGGTACGATTTCCTTTTTAATACTGGTGGTAGTTCTAGGGGCAACCATAAACCCTCAAAATTGTGTTTCAAAGGCTAATGTTTAAAAATCTGTGTCAAAAGGATGACAAAGCCTGCACTTGTCTTGGATAAGGTATATTGGTGATTCAAATGTACAAGACCTACATTTGGAGTTTAGAATTTATGATCAACACATTTTCTAGGCCTCTTATAACCTTTTGTATCAGGTAACATATACATACATATATACACACACATACATACATGTATATATAAAGACAAGAACTATTTGTTTTGTTTTGAGAAGTTTTTGCTATAGGTAGTGTGCACTCACCAGAAAGAGACACAGAAAGCAATAAATCAGCCCCCCAAGGGGGAGGGCCTCACCAGAATCCCTTCTCCTCCATTCTCCTCTTGGGATCTTGGGCACACATGCACACGTGCCCTGGTGTGAGTTTAAGCCATCAGGTCTGGAACTCAAACCACGGTCAACTACATGGGAGTCCAGCGACATAGCCATTATGCCAACTGCTGGTCCCAAAGACTAGAACTATTTAAGTGATGGAATTTGCAGTGTGACCATGCACAAAAGAGGGGCTTTCCCACTCTCTTTCCCGCCTCTCTCCAATGAGTGCATGCAGCCTCTGATGAACGTTTTTTTAATGTAATGGAAGGCCAAAGCATCGAGGTACAGGTAATGGAGTTCCACTATACAATGCTGGAACCCATCACATGGAAGGCCAAGGTTCATGATGGTGATCCTGGGTAGCTGGAGGACTGGAGTGGTAGGATCACCACTGTAAAGCAGAGGTGAGACTGTAAAGCAGAGGTCCCCAACCCGAGTGGGTCTATGGCCTGTCATGAACTGGGCTGCACAGCAGGAAGTGAGCAGCAGGAGAGAAGAGAAGCTTCCTTTGTATTCACAGCCCCTCCATTACCTCCTGAACTCTGCCTCCTGTCAGATGAGCAGTGACACCAGATTCTAATAGGTACTCAAACACTACTAGGAACTGCACGTGGTAGGAATCTAGGTTGTGCACTTCTAATGACAATCAAATGCCTGATGATTTGAGATGGAGCTGAGATGGTGATACTAGTACTGGGAAGCAGCTGCAAATACTGTATTACCCTGAGTTGTATAATTATTTCATTATATGTTAAAACATAATAATAACAGAAATAAAAATAAAGTACACAATAAATACATTTGAATCACCCCAAAAACCATCCCTGCCCTGATCCATAGAAAAACTGTCTTCCACAGGATCAGTCAAAAACTATGGTGCCAAAAACATTGGGGGAATACTGCTGCAATGTGTGCATTTCTCTCTCATGAAGGAAATAAATTTAAAGAGTGATGTAGATAAATTTATTAAAACTTACCTTCATAGTATTTATGATATACTTCTAATTCTTAATATGAAATTTAAAAAGAAAACAAGAATTAAAAGCAGCCTTCCACCTTGCTTAACACGTGTTTCTCTATATTTAATTTCTGTGGTCTTTACTAGATAAAAATGAGAATGAACTGTGCATACACCATCTTTTTTATAGAATATTAATAATAAATGCTCTCCCTCAATTTATAACTGTTCATAAATTACTAAGAGGTCTATCTGAAACAGTTTGTCATCATATCCATTAAGATGACACCAATCAAATATTAAGAGTTAATATAATAAGAGTTAATATAATAATACACTTAAATTTGGTGCAAATATAATTTTATTAATCCTTACAATGAATGTCGTGGCATATCATTTTCCATTGTGTGACAATTATTGGCTGGCACCTGAATACAGTACTTCTAAAAAAATACACAATGGGAACTGACAAAAGGGAGAGAAACTAGTTTAGTAATACAAAAAGGTAAAAGAAAAAAATGACCAATTAATTTAGTTTCCATAGTATCTAACTCTAAAATAATTAAAATTCCAAGCAATAACACCGCTATTACAGTGTAAGAATATTATCTCATCCAGCGCCCATAATTCTGGGTAATATAATTTCAAAGAGTCACTTTGTGAAAAATAACCTAAAGCAATTCTCCCAAGTCGCAGGAGGTAGGGGAATGTTTAAAATATTGTATATTAAGGTGACCTTATGAGCAAGCAATCACTCAACTTCAAAATTATAAAGGGCATCAAATGATCTTTGCTGATTTAGGTTTAACATTTTCAGATTTACAGACAGGAAGAACTATTCTTTTTCAATCCACAATTCATTTGGCTTTATAAAGTAGACTGGCATCTAATCTGAGTAAAATGACCATTTTATTTATAGAAATAATCAAAATAGTGCAATATCTAAAATTCAGAAAGCCCCAACAGGGCATTTCTATAGAAATGTAATAAAAGCTTACACATTAACTCCAGCCAAAATCATCATGCTACAGTATACCGGTTAGTTTGACTAAAATGAATTCAATTAGTTCATTAAGTATTAAATTTACTCATCTGAGATTTATTTTTAAAAAATTAAGTATTTTACTTTACTCAGTTTTGCAACCATTCTGAGAATACTTTCTGATGAAGGCCTTAATATAGTGTCTAAGGTCACATTTCTGAACTAACTTCCCCTAAAATAAAATCTTGGTCAATTTTGAGTTATTAAACCAAGTAATTTTTAAGAACTCCCAATGGTATTTATGGAGATGTCAAACAGAAAAAGGAGAATTTTATCCTAATTGAAATAAAGGTATTTCAGTACCAAGACTGAGGACTAGACCTAAATGATCTATTTCTGGTGATGGAAAAATTCTATTTAAAGAAACTCTTATTTTATACTGAAAGTACACAATTTAAGTTCACCTATAAAACAGTGTGAAATGTACCTTACACTAAAAGCAAGTAAGCCCTCCTAAGGGGAAAATATTAAACCACTTGAAAATCCAACTGTCATCTTTTACCCAAAACACTGAGATCAACTAATGTGATTTATTCTACTGGCAAAATTTTCCTTTAAAAGAAAAGAAAAAAATATCAAGTGTATATAATTCTTACACCATAAAATCAGAGGCAGACAGTTTCAAAATACTGATGTTTTATATTTCTAATCTTTGTCTAAATCACAAATTATAAAGTATTTGTAATATAAATGGCAGTTCACACATTTCATCAGACCTGTTCATAGTAGAACCCCTTTATCAAAAGGCTGAAGAGTGCCCATTTATACTCATGTGGACAGACGTCTGACTGTTTTTTCCTATTTTTCCAAAGTCCTTTCCAGAGGGTCTAGGAGGAGTCACACCCACAAACATTAAAAGACCATTTTTCCCATTAACAGGATTCTTCCTGCATCCAGTCCCTGGCATAGTATCTTTGAGACATATATTTCAACCAATTATAGTATATTATTTTGCTTATCTCTTCCCAAGACACAGAACTTCCCCCTATCTTGAGATGTAGGTTAAGCATTTCTTTTAAGAATCTCTTCCCAGGACACAGATCTCCCCTTCCAATCACCAACCTAAAAATTGTGGAACCCACCTATAACCTACAAGCTGCCCACTTCCACATGTCTGCCTTTTGGGCTAGACCAATAGAAATCTCTTCACTAATTTTGTCTGTCACTCTCAAAGTCAAATAAAAGGAACCCTGTAGCTGATCATCCCGAGAAAGGCATGTTTTGCCTTTCCTATCTGGGCCTAGGTCACTCATATTCCGCTTTGACAACCAATTTACCTTTGTCAATGGTGAAATTAAATTTAAGACCTAATAAAATGAGTAAGAATTTCCTTTAAAAAATTAAACATCAATTATTTAACCAAAATGTCTAATATCCTTTTGTTTATTTACTATTCTTCATTACAAGTTTTTTTACTGAATAAAGATAAAACAAACCTTAAGTGAATATTGCAATAATGACTCTTTAAATATCATTACACCAACCCTCAGAAGAAAATGTCAACACAAAACTCGGAGTAGTGATTCAGCTCATTAAACTCACAGGTAAACTGAGTTTTTCTCAATTCAATAAGAAGCTTTTTATTCAGAACAATTTCATTAAGACATCTGCAGGGCAAATATGCCATCATAAATTTTATTCTGAATAACAATAAAGTGCTGAATGATAATTACCTGAATCATTTTTAGTACTTCTCACTTATCTTTTCTTAAGTAAAAAGAGCCCTTTCTGTGGCATTAGCAAAGGAAGGAAGGAAGGAGGAAAAGGGGAGGAAAGGATGGGAGGAAAGGAGGGAAGCAAAGGAAAGAGGGAGAAGAAAAGAATAACTTTCAGTAATGGAACAGGAAGCACTGCAACCTTTCGTGTTTAAACAGGGTGACAAATAATTGAGACCAAAGAAATTCATGCAAGTTATCTTTAAAGGTATAAGTAAGCTTAAGGAAAGAAAGAACACTTACTGACCTTTGATACTATGGCAGTAAATTGCGTACTAAAAATACCTTAATTATCCTAGATGCCTAGATCTGGCTTGGCAAGCATCATGCCACTGACATGCTTTAGCTCCTTTTGAAACTAAAAGTGATTTGCAGTTCAATTACTGGATAATTCAATATGACTCCTTAAGCTGTGTGATATTCTTTGAGATTAACTTTAAGCAAATTCTCTATACCTAATCACACCATCGGCACAAAGCAGGACGATGCTGGAGCAGCATGAAAGGTGGGTCGCTTTAGAAATATTCTTTTACTGCATAATATATTAGGATGACAGACCTAAATTCCAACTGGGTTAATGAGTTAGAATAGATTTGTTTCCCAAATTTAGCACACAATAATTTCAGTGGATTAGAGAAAGAAACCTCTGATGTGAAGAAAAAAAAAAAATAGCTTGAGCTTAGACAGTTAACCTGTGGCTCTAAAAATTATCATGCTACAAGAGTATTTTCATAAAATGAATTTTGTACCAAACTTAAGAAAACAGTGTTTTGAGTTGAAGTTGACCAACTGCTGCATAGAAAATATGCAAACATACAACAGTCCAGTTTAAGCCGGTGCATAGAGAAGATAAAGCACTTATGGTAACTGCAAATGGTAACGAGTCCACACAGTTTGTACAACCTAGCATGAGTCTGTAAGAGGGGAAAAACTGTAACAGAAATGGTCAGGGTAAAAAAAAAAAAAAAAAAGTGGAAACAGGGCAAAAGCTTGGAGAACAGAAGGTAGAAGCAAGAAGAAAAAAAAAAAAGACCTCTATCCGTATAAAATTCACAAACCAGTAGACACCATTGAAAAATGGCGAACTCTGTCCCAAATCCCAACAGCAAACAAAACCAGAATAGATAAGCCTTTGGCAGACAATTTTAGAAATGTGAACATGACATTCTATTTCTCAATAATTCCAAACAATATATTATATGGTATACTTATATTAAATACTGGGAAACCAATCCTGTAAATTTGATGTTTATAATGCTTTAGCCAATGAGAGCATGATGATATCAAGCTAAACAAATGCTGGTGTTATCACAACAGTGCTCATTTATGAAACAACTGTTACCAATTCGTGCTTTAACAGTGATAGAACAGTCAAGTTATCACCTATGAAGTGAAACGAAGGTCTCTAGCTTCTCTGGGATGTGCCCTTTATAATATATTCTATGACTCACTATGACACGAGCAGCAAGACACTGCAGCGTGGTATGGTTTATAGGCTGGATCAGATTTTTAGCTATTTCTTTTTCGTCCAGCAAGTCACTAGCAGTTTGTTTGTGCAAGTTTGTCGCATCGAAATGTGCACCTGATTTAATGAGGAGATTCATGATATCTGGATGGTTGTTCAGAGCAGCGATATGGAGGGGACTGTTGTCATCGGAGTCTCTCACGTTCACATCAGCACCACATTCTATCAGAATTGCAGTAACTTGCAGAGATGGGAATTTACAAACAGGGTACCGCCCAACACATGTTGTATTCTTGTCCACCGCCAGATGAAGAGGGCTGAAGTTATTCTTTCCCCTTGGATGCAGCTTAAGAAACCTGTATATGGTCTGCTTTTTGAAGTGGTCCTGTTCTAGTGTACAAGGAACTTTTTCTAACAAGCAAATTAAATGCAAAATGATGGAAAGAGCCTTATTTAACTGTAAAGGGTCAGCTGGACACTGAGTTTGTTTGATAGCTCGCTCTATTTCAAGGACACTTTTGCACAGTATGCCCATGAGATCATCAAATGTAACAGTAGTGCCCAGCAGGCCTTTAGCCCTATCCTGGAGCATAAAGGAGAACAGTTCTGCAAAAGACAGTAAGCTGCTGGCGGTCATGGGGCTTAAAGGATCCAAGTTATTTTGCTGCATATCCAACGCATACTTCCAAAGGTTGATGCATCGCTTGAAATTGCCAGAGTCTGCATAGACAGCGCCTCTGTATCTAATATAGTAAGAGGTATCAGGATGAGAAGGCCCAAGGATACGTTCTCTAATTAATAGAGCCTGCATTCTCATTTCATCAGGATCGGCAATAAGACCCTCTAGTTCTTCTGCACTGTTTACCTCCTTGGCATAATCATAAGCCATAATTAGGGTCTGTGGTACTGGTTTACTGATAATATTAGTCCTATCACTGTACCTCATGTTCATCGCCTTTTTCCAGTATTTCAAAGCCCCAAGTAGATCTCTTTTTTTGTCTACGAATGTAGCTCCCAAAAGCTCTAGTGCATTAATACGTTCCGTCTTGCTGGTCTGTGCGTGGTGGGTCAGAAAATCCACAATATTTGTGTGACCAGTTACACTTGCTGAGAGAAGGGGAGTCATTCCATAACCATCCTTTTCCATCTTGGCACAATACATAAGGAGCATCTTCATGATGTCCAAACTTCCAGACTCTGCACAATCATGCAATGCAGTATTACCTTAAAAAGAGGTTAAAAAAAAAAAAAAGAAAAAGAAAAAGAAAAAGAAAAAAAGAACATATTTTGAGGGACCAGGATATAATATATATGTACTTTAGAATCTACAGAAAAGCAGGCAGCTCTAAGCCACCCTTAAGTAGGATATACTTTGATTATAAGTAATTAAAAAAAAGATCCCTAGTATCAAATACTAGTGTCTGATAAACAGCAGGGGCTAGAACCCTTGAACTTGTCAAATAAACAATATAAACAAATGAGGTACAACCAGATGAAACTTAAAGGTACTCCATGGTCTCTTGATATTTTTCATTAGTACTTTTAAGTGGATTCTCTATGACTAAAAAACAGCTAAATTAAAACTAACCAGCTATTCAGTTCTGCTGGCACTCACTTAACTTTCTGGGTCAGGTTCCAGTTTATAAGTGAGGAATGTAGTCTTTATCCTGAATTCTTCAGTTTGATTCTAATAGTTGTCAAAAGTTGTATTTTCAATGCTTCTGGATCACTGAGTGAATTTCACCTATTTTAGCCAAAATTCTTGGTAACAAATTATTTTCCTCAAAAAACTCCCAAAAGTGGGACCAGCAGTTAGCATAATGGTTATGTTGCTGGACTCCCATGTAGTCGACCACAGTTCGAGTCTTGGACCCGGTGGCTTAAACTCACTCCAGGCACGAGTGTATGCGTGCCCAAGATCCTGAGAGGAGAATGGAGAAGGGATCGCGGTGTGGCCATCCCTCCTGCGGTGTGATTTCTCACTTTCTGTCTCTCTGTCTCTGTCTGTCTTTCTGGCGAGTGCACATGCCCTATAGTAAAAACCTCTCCAAGAAAAAAAATCCCAAAAGATAAACAAGTCCACATAATTCTAGAAAATATGTAGGTGGTTCAATACAAACTTTAAAAGGAGACATCTGAAGTGTCTTCTCATAATGGATTATTTCACATTGTAATTTATTTTTTTAAGCATTCTTTTCAGATGTACTAAATGTTCTAACACTGTCCTGTTCTTCCCACACATGGATTAAAACTGACAACAGGCACTGGCATATTAGTAAGTGCCTGTATGAAACACACTACGACATTATAAACACGAGAGACTTTATCTAAGTCTAACGGTAAGCCTTTTACTAACTGTCAAAACAGAAGTTATCATGCATATTTACGCAGAACATTTCAACAGGGAGTCATTTTAGGCATGTCTGCACACAAGAGTGTGCAAGCTGGGACTGCTATCCCTAGAAAGACAACTTGCAGGGTGGACGCTCAGCCAACATCTGGGAACTTACCTGGTACAAAGTTCTCTACAATCAATAAAACCTTCCCTCAGCGATAAGGAGGCTCACTGTGACTAAACCATCTGTACCAACAAGGCAATTTATGCTGAACACCTCATTTTTTTCTGGGGAACTTTGGAAATGTGCTAGGCAAAGGCAGCCTAAGTGACCAGTTTCCAATAAAAACCTGAGTACTGCATCTCTCATGGGTTTCCCTGGGCAGAAACATCATACACATGCATTTTCGTTGCTGGAAAAGTATGTACTCTGTGAGAGAGAAAGTAAAAAGCAAAAGTAAGCCTGCAGATTTCTCTAGACCTCATCTGGGTCTTTTTTCTTATGATCCAGCAGCAGGTCCTTATTCTATCACTGTAAAAAAAATTGTACTCAGACACAAGTACAATTGTATTGTGAGTCCAAGGGGTGGTTTGGGGACCCCCTCACAACAGCATGTATAACAGAAAGTGGTTTAAATCTGAATACTTTAAATAATAAATCCCCTTTATAACTAAAATTAGAAAAAACAAAAATGATTACTATTATACAGTAGGACTACAATCTTCCCACAGGTTTCTCCTGGTTTGTCTTCCATAATATCTGCATAGATTATAAAATTACCCTGGTTATGTTTATTTGGATCTAGGATTTCAATGGTCTACAATGAAATGGTGTTTGAGGAGTCAAGTCTAGAAGTTGGTAACCTTCTCACAATGCCCTGCACCCATTCTGGAAGATACAGCTGAAATACTGAGAGTTTGTGACAGTCTTGGGGGGGTCAGAGAGAACTGGAGTCACAGCCCAGCAAGAGGAGCTTCGGAAATCCCCAAACTGTCAGTCAGAGTTCCAAAGGGCTGTATCCCACAGAATGAAGGGGAACTGGAATCTGAAAGAAATCCAATTTAAAACCATTTCAACACTGAACTGAAACAATCTAGAACTGGCAGTATACATCATCAAAAGCCAGAAGTAAATACATAAAGCTATTTAGAGGAAGATACCATATTAGGCTTCAATGTTTAAATTCTTCATATACAATGTTTCACATCCAATTAAAAATAATGAACAGGAAAAAAAAAAATCCCACAAGGAATCATAACACAGGAACCTTGAGAAGAGCTGAGAGAAAACGTCAACCGGGGACCAGCAGATAGCGAAATGGTTACGTTGCTAGACTCCCAAAGGCCAAATGTGGTTTGAGTCCCAGACCCAGTGGCTTGATATTCATGTAGGGCAGGGCACATGTGCATGCATGCCCAAAATCCCAAAAGGAGAATGGAGGAGAAGGGACTGCAGTATGGCCATTCCCACAGGGGGTGATTTCTTGCTTTCTGTCTCTTGAGTGCACACCCCTTATAGCAAAAATTGCTCTAAAAAAAAAAAAAAACAAGAAAAGAAAAGCCTACCAGGAAATCCAGATAATATAGTTATTGACAGTTCTAAACAGTTCTAAAATAATTCTGTTTAGCATATACACAGCAACATCTTAAAACTGAAGCTCAACAAAAAATTGAAAACTCTAAAGAAAGAATCAAATGGACATTCTGTAACTGAAAAACTTAGTGGGTGACTTTAAAAGCAGATTATACACAGCTGAACAGAGAATCAGTGAGCAGAAGATAGGTCAGACAAAAATACTCAAAAATAAAGCAGCAGCAGTAAAAGGATAAAGAGGCAGAGAACAAGGGTTAACACACTTAAAACTGAATTCTAGAGGAAGAAAACAGGCCAAAAGCCATGTCTTAACAATTTTCTGAAGTTGATGAAAGACTAAGCTTTAAATTTAAGAAGGTTTACAAGCTCCACTAAGGATAAAGAAAACCACACTAAAGCACACCAAAACTAAGGACAAAGAGAGAAACCTTAAAACCAGAGAATGAGTGGAAACTGCCTATGAACAGCTACAAATTAGACTGAAAAGCAAAGTTCTCACCAGGAACCCAGAGGCCAGGTAACTACCAACTTGGAACTCTACACCCACATCATGAGTACATATGAAGTGAAGGCTGTCGGGTGGGGAAAGGAAGGAAAAAGGAAACACTCGGATATGTGTATCAGCAAACCTAAGTACGATGGGGTGCTCTCAGGCAGATGAGTCACAGGAGAGGTAAGCATTTACATCAGCAAAAAGTACATGTGTTCCCACACGTGTGTCTAAATACATACTGATATTAGAAATGTCTTGTTGATTTATGTAAGCAAAATACCTGACAGTATTGTTGGAAAGAGATAAAATTAGAAATTTATGTAAAGATTTTAATAAGTCAAAGCAGTAGTATCTAGAGAAACCACTAAAATCAGAGAGGGCATGTAACTCACTACTACACTTTCTCTAATATGAAAAATAAAACGCAATAAAAAATTGATCTAAAAGGAGAAACAGAGGAACACAAAGCAGGTAGAACAAGTTAAAAAAAAAAAAAAAAAAGGTAGCTAGGAGATTAAAAATCCAAATATGTTGGGCCGGCAGGTGACATTGTGATTAAGGCACTTGACTCCCACATGGCCAGCAGCAGTTCAAACCCCAAACTCCGCAGCTTGGAAATCATACCAGGAGTATGTGCGTGCATGCCCAAGAGGGGAACCAAAAAGAAGGGACTGCAGCGACGCTATCCCCCCAGGCATGATTCCTCTGTCTCTGTCTCTCCAGCAAAAGCACATGTCTATAGCTAAAAAACCTTAAAAAAATAACTAGAAAAACCTCTGAGCCTTTGAAATTAAAAGTCACCTCTAAATAGCTCATGGGTCAAAGAAGAAAGCCCAGTGAAAATATTTTTAACTGCATGACAATGAAAATACTAAGTAACAAATCTTACAAGATATGGCTACGCCTGGGCTTACAAAGTAACATAGGGCCTTAAATGTACATACTGGAAAAGAAAGGCTTAAAAAACAGCTGAATTTCTATTTTTAAAAAAGCAGTAAATTAAACCCAGAGAAAACACAAACAATTTTAAAAAGCAGAAATTAATGAAAAAGAAGAGGGTTTAAGTATGTTTTTATTTTCCTAAATTTTATTTATTAACTGTTGCCCCACTTAATCTTAGGTGAAAAACTATGCAAAGTAAGGAAGATTTCTATTCTGTTACAAAAGGAAAATGGAGGACTTTAGTGGTACAACACACTGCCCATTTCTGAGGTCACATTTTAAATGCCATACTAGACTCCAATGGACAAATTAATGTAAGCCAAACCTCATAATAGAACTTCAACCTATCATATCATTTTCCTACTCAAAAGTTTTCATGCTTCCTTCAGGAAAACAGAACGGCAGAGTATCTATCAGATGGCTTTCAAAATTATATAGCATGAATTCTCAAAGTATTACAGACTTTGACACAGTTCGTGGAAAAAACAGAATTAAAGAATGAGTTTTGGTGCAAAAAAAAAATTGAAATTTATGCAGTTATTTTCATAATATACACTTTCCATGAAATTGTGAAGATCTCTCATTTCTGTGAGGGGAGAGGAACGAGGAAGAAGCCTGCTATGGGCACCAGCAGTTGGCGTAAGGGCTATGTCGCTGGACTCCCATGTAGTCAACTGTGGTTCCAGTCCCGCACCCGGTGACTTAAACTCACGCCAGGCACGTGTGTGCACTTGCCCAAGATCACGACAGAATGGAGGAAAAGGGATTGCAGTGTGGCTATGCCCCCTGGGGGGGTGATTTCTCACCTTCTGTTTGTCTCTCTGGCAAGAGCATGTGCCCTATACCAAAAACCTCTCCAA